TCCATCTCTCACCGTGCTTGTCAATTACAGTCCTTTATTAGCTCGTTCATTTCAACTTCCCGCAACCCCCCCCCCTTTCCGCCCCTTCCTTTATAATTTATATATTAATTGTTATTACTTAACCGGCTGGCAGCAGTGGCCAGAGCACTTGACTCGCTGTTACAAGGTTGCGAGGTCAAAAAAAAATCCTGGTCGGTGCTTGACTCTGCGTTTCGTTTATCCCTTAGGTCGATAAAATAGGTACCAAGTTGTGGGAAATCAACGGTGGTTGTCAAATGGATTAGGCATGCCCACCTCCACCACCGGCCAACAGGTTAGGGTTTATGGTTATGGGTTTATGGTTATGGGTTTATGGTTATGGGTTTATGGTTATGGTTAGGTTGCTGTAGTTTTTCACACCTGATGATGATTGCTTGTGTTGCAATCGAAACGTCGTGAGAATTTAATAGTTTAATTTTTATTATTTTATTATTTCCCTTCTACGTGACTTTACCGAAAGAACCAAGAATATTAGGGTTTACTGTTAGGGTTTAGGGTTAGAGTTCGGGGTGTGGGAATGTGGAATTCCCGCCACTGGTTGAGAATTGTAAACACGCGAGGAGCCTTGATCATTGCTCTACGGATTGGGAGGCAACTTGGAATATTGTCACTTGATAGTTTATTTCCGATTTGTAATATAACATGATGACCTTTGCTATGTGAGGGCCGAATGAGTGTCCAGCAGTCTCCTCTTCAAGAGAGATCTGCACCATAAAATACGTGTTTTTTTAAATTGTAATTGTTACTTCGGAAATTCTCACTCTGAATTTATAAAATGACTCAAGAAGAGCCCGCATTTGGAACGCGTCTCCAAATCTCCGTTCCAGAACGATATATAACGCTGTGCTTTTAGTTTAGTTTCCCTAAACGTGGGTGAAAACCAGAGTGCAAAGGGCAAACACCAATCTCTTCGTGAGCGCCCACCTACTTGCTGTACCGCCACCGGCAACTGCGTCGCCCCTCCGCACGTATGTCAACATCGCGAGTCATTATCGCCGCGACATTGTCTCTGCTCGATCACACCCCCCCCCCCCACGCGCGACCCAAGCCTCCGCAAAGTCGCCGTGGGATACAAACAGACGGTCAAAAACTACTTTGGGGAGGGGGTGGTGGAGCTATAAATAAATAGTTAAATCTTCCGCCTGTGACTCGGTAGTTTGATATCAAAAAAGAGCAACTCACATAGCTGCGCCCTTTGAAAGTGGCTGGCACGATTAGCATCGGAGGAGCCGGTTATTAGGGCACCTGCTGAATGCAGATTAGGGGGGGGGGGGCGAGAGGGGAAGGGGATGGCGGGGTCCCGCTCGTCGTTTGTTGGGCAATCTGTAAACAGACAATGACTCATTGATTCACGCGCGGTTCAATAACGTCCTTTCAAATGAGAGATCAAAGATAGCTCGGAGCCACCTTACTTTGTCATCCCCAAAGCGTAAATTCTTGTAGCACTATTTACCGAGGAGCAGCCGATAGCATCATATTGCTTGTCCTGCCTTTGTCAAATGATTTATGTGACACGTGATAGACGATATTGTGTTCGGGGTAATGAAATTTTCTGAAAATGGTGCATTTCGCCCCCTCCCCCTCCCGCCAGCCACCTCGCCATCTCCACACTCTGTCTCTCTCCCCCACCTTGCAAACAAAATACAGAGGGTGCGCGAACGTTGCGACGCGTTTGGAAACTGTTACGCGCTGGGCTAAACATTCCGCATGGAGATAACGAGCGTCCCGTTACTTTATCTTTGGCCAGTGTGGATTTTTTTTGGGTTGTTGCAAGTCTGCTTCTCTCTCTCTCTCTCCTCTCTCTTTCTCTCTGTGCGAAGTGCGTGCGTCGGCTTAGTGAGACAGGTGCGCGCGCCTGACACGTGCGCAGTTCATATTGCTATCCACATCGGAGCATCGACAGGCCGATACGCAACATCTCTGTCATGAATGGGAAAATTAAAGGCGAGCCAGAGTAGCGCGATTGTGACCATGCAACCCCAACTATTGACCCTAGAGTAAAAACCAAACTAGTAAGGATTTTTTTTAACTTTTATTATAACCAGGTAAAGCTCTTTTTCTCAGAAGCGACCTGGCCACAAATGATAGCTCAACAAAGTGGCGTATAAATTTTGATTTAAAGCTTTCGTGACTGCAGTAATTCATATTCTTAGCTCTTTCAGTAAAGTCACGTTGAAGGGAAACAATAAAATAATAATATATATAAAACAATAAAAATTCTCACGACGTTTCGACCATAACACAAACGGCCGTCATCAGGTGTGTCGGTTTGCATTAATGCAATCACTACGTACAACTAACTAATGCATTAATGCAAACCGACACACCTGATGACGACCGTTTGTGTTATGGTCGAAACGTCGTGAGAATTTTTATTGTTTTATATATTATTTTATTGTTTCCCTTCAACGTGACTTTACCGAAAGTGGCGTATGATGTGGAAATGTATAGCAGCCAAATGCAAAAGAAGTTCAACATACATGTGTGCGTACTCTAAACGAGTGATGTTGTTTCTAAAAGTGGAGGGAAATACCGGAGGACCCGGAGAAAAATCTACGCGACCACGGGGAGAGAGCGAGACACAGCAAACTTTAAATATACAGCAGCAGGCGTCAGGGTCGGGATCGAACGCACGATCTCCTGATTGATCATCGTCATCATCGTCGTGAGCCATTTTCTATCCAATGCTGGAGGAAGGTGTCCCCACGCCGTCACCATTATTCACGCTCTTGTGATGCTACAATCAACATTCACCGTTTCATTAAATACACCGTACATTGTTTGCATGTATATACGTGCGTGTGTGTTTATCTGTGTGTCTTTATATGTCGAGAGAGTGGTCGTTGTGGCGGCTAGAGCTACGCTGCGCTACGAATCCAGCGACCCGAGTTCGATTCTCGCTCAAGGCCAACACCGGTGACGATTATCTGAGCCAGTTCTGGGCCCCGCCTTATGTCTGCCTTAAATGAGTAACTGGTGCGATGTGTAAACATCGCCACTAGGGAGACAAAGGCCGCCGGGCGTGGTCCTGGCCACCCACCCCCTCGTGTGCCGTGCCGCCTTTTGTAGGTGCTCGCCTACAGCACTTGCCCCTCCAGTCTGTTAATGCTATACGGGGGTTCTTTGTATTTATATGTATATGTATCGGTGGCAGAGTGGATAAGCTCACTGTGCTACGTACCCAACAGCCTAAGTTCGATTCTCGGTCATGATCAACATCAGAAGTGGGTTATATCTGAATCAGTCCTGGTGGGCCACCTTTTCACACAGCGTGGTGAAGTTTGGACAAACAACCTCCATCCAGCAGTGGATTAACAAACGGCTGTAAGTTATTATAATTTGTTGTGTTTAGTTTGTTGTCCTTCCCCACACCTACGATTAGCACGGTTTGCTACGTACGGTGCGAAAGAAGTTCAACACACATAAACATGAATAAACTGACCATTCAAAAATGTTAAAACAAAATGTAATAACGTTAATATGATCATATCCAAGGTTTTTTTTTACAATTCCCTAAATGGATTTGATGCCATCATAATGTAAGTTTTACCCTTTGCCAAACAGATTTAGGTTCTCAATCTCCTCTTCGTCATTACCAGCCACGATCAATCCACTGCTGGGGCACAAACAGAACGCGTTCTAACAAAATTGGGACCTTTTTTTCCAGTATCAAAGTATGAAAAAAGAAGAATAGGGTGCACCCTCTCTGGCGATAAAACAGGTGTTAAGATGTTCAAACACCAAATAGATAATGTTTTTGCAAAGAATCAAGTTCGCATTAACCACACAGTACTTGTGGTGAACATGCAAACAAAACATGCTCTGATATAATATACGTGCATTGTCTTTGAAACTGATTTGCCGACACCAGAGCACAGCAGCCTTCTTGAGGGCCTCGTCTCACCGTTGTCAGACCAGAGAACGACAAAAGGTGAACAGCACAAAGACAATGCACTCTGGATTCTGACCACCACCACGTACAACGTACTATCACTACGTACTATCACTACGTACAACTGACTATCACTACGTACTATCACTACGTACAACTGACTATCACTACGTACTATTACTACGTACAACTAACTATCACTAAGTACAACTGACTATCACTACGTCCTATCACTACGTACAACTTGATCATCGCAATGAGCAGGGGTTGGCAGCCGCATGTGGGCTCTTTATTGGACCGTTTCGTGAAGTTTATTTACTAAGGACCCCACCGTCTCGTATTCATGTGAAATATTGAAGCAGTTATTATTTTTAAAAATACCAAATTCGAACAGGAATGGCTCTTCTTGTCATTTTGTTCGCCGACTCCATGGCTATGGGGGAACCAGGTGCCTCTTACCTCAACGAATATTTTTATGGGAGGGGGAGGAGGGAACATGTGTATAAATAATATATTTAGTTTATTTATTTTTACTATGGTAACGTCTCAATCAGCATTATTGACATTAATGTCAAATATAAAAAAAAAATCGGGGATTATATACAACGCCCGACAATGCGAAAAAATTACAAGGCGCGTAATTTTTTTCAATTAATGCTCTTTATATATATTTATATGCTCTGTCTGCCTCTTATTTATCGCACGCTTAATGCTGCTGCTTCAGTAGCGGGCATTCGCCGGGGGACCGCATAATCCTATTGTGACGAGAGGTTTTTTTTTCTGCTCGCAGAATAAAAAGCGTAGAATGGGACAATGCGATGATTAGCATGTGACGGAAAGCCTCCTCTCTTTAGCTTCACTCCTTCCAGACTCCCCCTGCCATCCCCTGTCCCTCCCTCCCTCCCTCACTTGTACGGCGAGCTTTGAACTGTTTATCCGCAGCGACAATGGGATTTGAGTCGAGCTGGTTCATGGAGTTGAGGGCGGATGGGTGGGGGTGGGAGTAGCTCACGCGTGGTGGCAGCGCGTGCGGGTGCCTAAGCGTGCGTGTGTCTAAGCGGGTGGGTGGGTGAGCGTGCGGGTGAGCGCGTGGGTGAGCGCACGGACGGGAGGGCTGGTGAGCGTTCGGGCCGGTGAGTGAGCGCGCGGGCGGGCGGGCGGGCGGGCGGGCGGGTGAGTGCGCGAGTGGGTGGGTGAGCGTTTGGGTGGGTGGGTGAGCACGCGTGCAGATGTTTCCGTCTCCCTGGCGATGCCCTCGATCGTGGCTCGGGTGCCCGGCTGGCGAGCGCTCGAGCGTGGCGCACGCGCGCGCTCGATTTGCGCCGCACGTGAGCAGATGTACGTGTGCGCGTGTCTGTATGTATGCGCGTCACACGTACGGACGCACACAGACGCGCGCGCGCGCACACACACAAACATACACGCACAATGCACACAGACGAAGTGACACACAGACACGCATAGACACACGCGTGCACACACAGATGAACAAACATACGGATAGACGCATGCACAAACACAAAGATCCCCCGTTTAGCCTGTACCAGACTTTTGGGGCAAGTGCTATTTGCTCGCACGTAACCTATAAAGGCCGGCACGGCACACGTGGGGGCGGGTAGCCAGCACCACGCCCGGCCGCCTTTGTCTCCCCAGTGACAATGCATTGACGTTTGAGGCTGAGTCGGCCGAGGGAAGTCCCCATGACCGGTTCAGACCGTCGTCGCTGGTGTTGGCCGTGAGTGGGAATCGAACTCGGGTCGCTACACGACCGCTCCCGACACATGCACAAAAATAAATACCCACATATATATACACGCACACGAACGGACAGAAGGCACACAGCCACGTGTGCACAGAAAGACACGGGGACAGAGAGCGTGCCGAGACACGAATATGCAGCAGACTCAAACAGATGCACTCACACACTCGTCTCAAGTCTCAATGCTCCCATTACTCATTTATTCAGTCACATTTACACAACAGGCCATCCGTGCCTGTCCGCGCCTCCCACTTAGTGCATATTCCCCAGCACTTGGAAGAATCGACGGGACGCTTCAAAAAACTATCATCCCTGGAGCCAGAGCGTATCACCAACCCTGTCCCCACTCTACCGGCAGAAGAAAAAACAAACCCTCCAAAGTGTCCCAAGTCCTCTGCGTAGCCTCTCTGTGCTTGAGAGGCACTCAGACAACGAGGGTTGCTCGTCACAGTTTGACGAGGCGAAGGGGTTCTTAATGAGGACTTACAAGCAGCGGCGACGGACTCGAGGCTGGGGAAGGGCTCGGGTTCACGTGGCCGATGCATTGTGCTCGAGAGTCTAAGGATGACGCTATTCTAAAGGGAGGTGTTGTTTTTTTGGAAACGCATCTACCGCACAAAGCGAGGGGCAGCACCTGCACGTGGGTAATCCATGCAAACGGCAGTAAAACGTTTGGATCCTTTCCAAACGAGTGTGAATCAAAAATGACGCGGTAGTTACGAGTACGATACACATTATATATACACACGTGTGCAGAGAGAGAACGCAGGAATACTACTTAAATAGTGCACATTCGAAATATGATCACGTTTAGTATCGAGTGAAAGTGGGTTTAGTGTAAGGAGGCACACACCTCGGGTTGACCGACGTTGACTATTCACTCTGCAACCTCGTGATCATAAAACGAACACTAGTCTTAAACAAACGGTGCGTGTTGCGTTACTAGTTAGATGCTAGCTAGGTCATTCAGTTGAGGTGGGCACACGGCTCGTATGTACGTACGTTTGTTGAACTTCTTTCGCACCGCACGTAGCTAACTGTGCTAAGCGGAGGTGCGTCTCAGCGCGCTAAAATCGTGGCAGCAATGAGCACGCATCGTCGAGAAGCTGGGTTCGATCTGGGGTTGATTTTTTCCAGTCACCTGCAGAAACTTCGGAAGTGAGTTCTCTGACATCAGCTTCCACAACCGTTTCTCCGACACAAGGTGATGAACTCCCGACTCCCAAAGAATTTCCATACGGGAGCCTTCTTCCTCTCTGGACATTACGCTGATAGCACAATTGTAATATTATGGAGAAAAAAATAATGAAAATAATAAAGGCAGACTTGTTTCTTAGCTAGACACACAAGGAGGAGTAGGAGACGTGTCAATCAGCTTGCCTTATGGGGAATTGTAAATAATGTTACAGCTCGTGATGAAGATAGCGATACAGATTATGTTGCTAATTTTATCGACAAGGAATGCGTATGAGGTTAGAAGGAGAGCTCTGAAAAACACCGGTGCAAGATTTCTGCATTATTTTTTTTTTAAAACCCGCACTGGCGTTAGTGTGATGCCAGCACATTTTTGTTACCTATCTGTTTTGCTTTGATTCCTTCCGCCTCTACTGCAGAGAGTTCAGAGAGGCTCCGAGCCAGCATTGAGAGTGTCACACGCGCGCACGTGCGCACGCAGAACATCACAAGACAAAGATCCCACCGTTGCACCTTATCATACTCTTGGGGCACGCGCTTTCAGCGGGCACGTTATGAAGGCCGGAACGGCACTCGAGAAGTTGGGTGGTCAGCACCACGCCAGGCGATGTGCAAAAAGGTAAAACCAGGCACTCGTTTGAGGCTGAGTAGACCTACGGGAGGCCCAGGACTGGTTCAGATAACCGTCATTGGTGTTGGTGGCCGTGAGTGGGAATCGAACTCGGGTAGCCGGGTTTGTAGGGAAACGCGATAATCGCTATACTACCGCTCCCCACTACAAAGACAAATATCCCCCGTATAGCCTTTAATATACTTTTTGGGGTAAGTGCCCAACAGTCACAGATATGTGGCAGGAAGATGCCAAAAAAACATGAGCAATCTACCGATAGAAGCCGAAATTCTTGGATACTCGCATGGATATAACAATTTAACACGTGGGCTTTCGCGACCAGTATTATGCATAATCAAGGTTTTTTTGTTAGAGCGCGTTATTATAAATGTGTTGCAACCCTCCACCACCCGACACGGCCAATCAGTAAAAACTGTGTCACGTTAACAAAACGCCAATTAGTTACTTCTTCAGCCCACCATCGTGTGTTTGAAGAGTGAATCCACAACATTTAAGACCGGAACAAGGTGAATGGCTTCACTATTCTGGCAAATCGCCCGAAAATGCGAAACGTCGTACTCAAATTGCAATTGTTGTTGACACATTTATAATAACCCGATCTAACCCATAAAACCGTTATTATGGATGTAACAATGTTTGACTTTCTGTTGATGATTCTCATATGCTTAGCATCATTGCTGTGTGCAACCAGAGTCTAAAGCACTCTGATTCCGTGCCATGCGTTTGGTAAAGTACGAGTAGCAACATCTCTTCAATGGGATGGTGAGTTCTCGGAGTACCACTCAACTACTATATGTTGTGTTCAATATGCGAGTTGTTTGCTGGGCTGTGGTGTGCCAAGCTACATGGCGTCACACGGGTGACCAAAATTATCCGGTCAAAAGTGATCACAGGCTAGTAAGCGTTCCACTGCATAAGCAGCCTCTTTGTCAATCCACCGCTGGATGATGGCTTTCCCAGGCCACGCGAGGCATGGGGCGATTGTCTGCAACTCTCTTCCACCAGACGTCTGTGCTGTTATCTCCCTGTCCCTGGCCTAGTACAGACTCATTGCCCTGCCTCTTTTCCTCTGCCTGTGACTCTCTTCTCTTGATTTAAACAAAACAACGTATAGATGTACCTTTTATTTCTCTGCGATGCACGTGCCACCGCATTCCCAGAATATTTGTACATCGAAATTATATCACTGCAACCATAACTTTGCCAAGAGGTGGCCACGCGCACGGCCACTACGACCATGGTGCAGTCAGGTATTCTGGGCAACATCTCAAACGATATCAGCGACAATGTTGCTGAGTACCGACACGCCACGGGGACTTTGATGGACAAGGGTCAGCATTTCCCCATCGCCCGGTTTATGAGGTTAACTCATTGGAACTCGGCATAGAGTCCCATCATCGTCGTCACCACCACCGTGCTAAGGCCAGACCAACTCCTAGGGAGATTGTTCAGGGACCTCACCTACCTTCCTGCCTCTCCTCCACTTACTCGGGCTGTCCCGCGTCCTCGCCTATTATCAACGCGTTCAATCTTGTTCAATTAGGACTCGTTTCTCTCTCTCTTTTAAAGATGCTGCCCTAGCGAGGTGAGTGGGGGAAGGGGGGCTCACTGCTTCCACTGAGGTCTGGCATCCGCTTGGCTCGGTTAAGAGCTTGTTTTTTTTTACGACCGCATGCTCCATTACTTATTCATTGGGGTTGAGCCGCTTCTTCTCTAAAGCGCCCAAAAGGGGCCTCCTCCTCCTTCTGCCTTCCCACCCCCCCCCCCCCCCCCCCCCCAGTGCCGCTTCCCACAAGAAAAGGAGGGCCGCCTCGCGCGATGGACTCCATTTTTATTTTGTCGCTTGCCCTTCGACCACGCGGTTTCAATGTGTTGCCGTTTTGTCGGGCGAATTCGTCGTCTCACACCACCACCACTACCTCATTGTTACGTGGATTGCAAATGCCGTGGACGCTGCCACCATGGGGTTGTGACGGGTGCCGCGAAACTGAACTCGCGATTCGAGAGGTCGCGGGCTCCATTCGATTCGATGTCGCGGCGCGGCGGTTGAAACAACGGAGGAAGGTTTTTAGTTTTTTTTTTAATCCGGGTTCGTAGCGCCCCGCGCTAACCGCTACGCAATCGATCCCCATAAATCCCCATGCCGCCTCTCTTCAAGCAGCAATTGTCAGGGCTACACTGTTTGCCTCCGCCACATTTGTTGACTTGCCATTCGCATTTCCACCGCTCCAATGTCCCGACGCGGCACATGGGAACGAACGGCCAAATTTCTCGAATCCCACCGAACCCTGTCCACAGGGAAGTATTAAAAGGGTACAGCCACATTGTATCGATCGGCTGATCGCGTGTGATGTGACAAAAAAGTATGGGTACGGAGGACTCAATGTTTTTTTTTGTTTTTCCCCAGGGACGTCAGGCCAGTATGGACAAGTAGGCCGAATATCGTCTTCAGAGACCGCCTGCCTTGAAGGCCTTTCTGCAACACGGTGGGTTTTGAGGTGAGCAATTGCGGGACTGAACTTTGACCTCCTTTCTACGTAGTCGCAAAAATGTGCAAAACAGGCGTGGAGAGACGCGCGCTCAGAGTTAGACTGGGAAACAGGAAGAGAGTCACACCATGCATTGGTGACTATATATGTGTAGACGCCTGTCGTAGACATCTCTTGACGGGCGATGAATGCAACTGAACTGAAACTGAACTGCATGGGTTTGGGCAGGACACGTGGCTGGAAGTGTAGCGAGGGAATCAGTGCCGGATTAAGCTAGTGTGGGGCCTGTAGTATATGTTATGAGGGGGCCCTATATTAAAAAAACACATGAATATGAAAAACACATTATTTACGTGCATTGTAAAGCAATTGTATTTTTTCATTTGCTATACAGTCATATAATACGACAAATCGCTAAGCTTAAACACCCAGTCGTTCATAAAAGTTGAAGGCAGTATAGTACTACAATAATAGAGCAAGTGCAGAATCACTGAACTGGAATTGATAGCTTGACAGCATTTAGCGCGGGGCCCTTGAAAGTGCGGGGCCCGCAGCTACTACATTACCAGCTACTTGTGCTACTAGGATAATCCAGCACTGGAGAGAATGGCAACCAAGGCAGGGACGCCACCCGATCCCATTGGCTCCACAGCAGAGGCGGAGCGATGCGATTCAATCGGAATATTCGAACATACCGGAGGAATCCGATGAGCTATGAAGCTCTTTTTCACAGATGCCCAGAGTGGTGTACGCGCGCGCAGGAGCCAGACGGATCGTGGCATCATCGGACCTGCGGGAGGGTTCCGTTCAGCAGTGGATAAATCATGGCTCATGGCGCGCGATTGATTATGAAACAAGTTGCAATCTCGCAGGTCTGCTTTGTGGGAGAGATAGTACATGTCATTGGTCCGTAAGTTGATACGTATGTGTCTATGTTGAGTTTCTTTCGCTCCGTACGTTACCGTAATGATCCTTTATTAGAAGTGTCCTGCTCAGGATTTTGTTGTTGTTACAATTCCCTATTATGTTCACATTACCGTCGATGTATATAAATACAAGTGTCACCATTTACTTGCTGTTGTTGTTGTTGTTTTACATTATACAGCATTTCGATTGGCAGACAGCGTGCAGTTGGAGAAAGTGTGGGCAGACGTCCATTCCTTTTACGTCCCAATGTGGAGGACTTGGACGCACGCCCCACGACCTTGGTAGACGGGAAAGTTAAGGGGGGGGGGGGGGGAGGAGAAGGAGGGGGGGGATACGTTGCGCGCATTTACAAAGGAATTCTCAAGGCGCGTTGTTATCGCCGTTCCTCGCGGAAAATATCGGAGGGCGGGGGGGGGGAAACTTGCGGCAGGAGGAAGAAGGTAAAGAGGCGTACTTGGCAAGACGTTTCGTTCGAGAGCCAGACTCTAGGATAAACAGTGCCGGGGCTGAGAGGGTACAAAACAATAAATAAACGCAATGGGGGACCCGGAAAACCGGGCATCATCTGGTTGTCAACCTCTGAGAACGGAGGCGTCGCCACCAACTTAATTCGCCATCGAATTACGGGATCGCACAAAAGCCTCCTCAATTAACAAGGGGCGGCGGGCGGAGGGGTTGGATCGTCGTTCGTCCTTCGCGGTAAAAAAAAAACAAAACCCCAACAAAAACTTGACTTTTATTCCATTTTTATTGTTTGCTCTTTCTCTCTCCCTCTCTCTCTCAGGGGGCATCCATCCATCAATGGCAAGTTGGATGAGTCGTTGAGTGCAGAGGAGGGAGTGAGAGCGAGGCAGGCAGGGAAGGAATGGGGGTGGCGAACGAAGGAGCGGCGGAGCAAGAGCACCAGCAAACCGTGCCAGCTCCTTGTTCTTACAACAAAAGCCTATTGTTCCCAGAATGCATTGCGCATGTCTATGGTCGTGCTGCGTGTGTGTGTGTGGTGGGGTTTTTTTTTGTTTTTTCCCCGACAGCTGGGTCCTTTGGGTGGCCCGAACGCGACAGTTTCGTGTTAATTTGTCCGCCCCCTTCTTAGCCGTTGTGCACGCCTGGCTAAGCACCACAATCCCACAGTCCCTGCCCCTCTCCCCCACACACAAAGACAAAGATCCCCACGCACAAACAAAGACACACACACACGTACGCAGACTCGCGCAGTGTCACGCGTGCACAGAGTGAACGCGTGCAGTCACACACGCCCCACACACGTCATAGGACAGACGCCATTCGCCACTAAGTGACGGTGACGTCACCACGGCGTCTGTGCCAGGCCAGGTGCACTTTGAGGCTATCACGTGAAGTGTCGAAGGCTCGCTGACAGGTCTCGGGACAGACCCAGCAGGTGCCGTGGTTTGACCGACAGAGATGACCACTGGTAGATGCACCACCAGCTGTACCCCCTACCGTGCCAAGCTAGGTGGAGGAGGTCTCGGGACAGACCCAGCAGGTGCCGTGGTTTGACCGACTGAGATGACCACTGGTAGATGCACCACCAGCGGTACCCCCTACTGTGCCAACTTGCTGCATTTTATCCGCCCGGCGCTCCGCTCGTTGTTGTTGAGTCACACACCCACAGTCACACACACGCAGACATAGACACTGACGCACACACAGTGACACAAACCCTCCCTCGCCAAGCCCTCTCCAGATAGAATGGCTGTTCTGTTGTTGACACAACTAAACAGCGGTAAGCTGCATGCAAATGCAGCGACACAATGGCGGTCATTCAGTATCCTTTATTTAACCACGAGATGAAATAAACGCATCGAGACACACGGAGCAATATTTTCCCCTGTGCAACGGCGATCTGGATATGAATGAAATGCGTTTTTTTTAAACGAGTACGTATCGAGTACGTGGATTCACAGGCGCGCGCAGGCCCTGTACTTTTATTTCGCGGCCGTCGCAAAGGGAGGTTTAAATTCGGCCTTGTCCCATCGTCGACTCCTCTGTGCGTCCGTGAAACGCAGCACCGTCCTGGTAGCCTCGCAGATCTGCGTAAAAAACACACGCGTAGTTCATCACTGTTGTTGTTGTTCTTGTGATGATGTAATTATGAATAAGAGTACTGTCGCTGGATTACAGTCATTGCAATGGTGCACCGTATTGTTAATACCGATAATGACATTGATTTGGTAATATATATTAGGTGATACATACGTTTGGTTTAAATCGAGAGCGGACGCTAATTACAAATAAATATGCGAGGAGCGTTGCATCACTGCTATTCTGCAGCGAAATGGAATGATTTCGCAAGACGTTCGCGAGTTTTGGATTTTAGGTCTGGTTTTTGCAACATGACGATGATGTGAATGAGACAGCTGATATATAATGTATTACAATTACCATATGGTTGCTTTTATGATGCTGCCCATTTTGATGATTTTGCATCAATTTCTTTGCCGTATAATTTCATTTCAAAATACCTTTCCTAATCACCGTTATCATCACCAGTTATCGTAATTTCTAGTTATGGATAAATTTAATTGAACCGGTGCAAGCTGCCGAGTAATAGTCTTTATTTGCCCATGAACAAATCAGGCCTCTGAAGCAGAGCAAATTTGTCCACCATGAACAACAGGTGATATAGGCTGCGGGGTTGTGGGCAGCATAGAGCAGCGCGGCAAAATCAATCGAACTGGACATGCCCTACGAATATGACCCCTACCCACTCCCCCCACGTCTTCACCTACACGCACTGACCAGATTGGTGAAGTATGGCTCAATGAGCATCACGACCCGGCCAGCCAGCATGGGGAGGCTTTCATCCAGCGGTGGATGCACAGAAAGAATGTGCGTGTGCAACAACAAATTATGCATTTGCCCAACAAAGCTTCAATGAGCTCCGAATCCTCTGCTAAAGTGTCCACCTTTGTTGATGTTTGGCCCATGCGTTTACTCGGCACGATTGTGCTGTGGAAACATCTGGAATGACCAATGCATTCACGGACAAAAGACTCAACAATTAATACAAAAATGAGTTTAAAAAGAAAAACCTCCATTGCTGCTCATTGGTCAGATTTAATGTGCGGCCCGCGGTGTCCAGAGTGAGCACCTTGCACATCGAAGAGGCGCCAGTTCCGACTTTGAAATGAAAAAGAAGCCAGCCTTGGTAGGGCTGCAACAATAAACGTAATAATCTTGGTTGGAAACTAAAGGAGGGCCGGTCCTCCAACAAAAACAGCTGAGCAAACAGATCCTCGGGGCCCGATAATCGCATCGGGGCAGCTGATAAGGGCCTTAGCCCCTAATCACTTCCAAACGCAACTCTGCATCTCTCCCACCGCTGGCCTGGGTTCTTCATCTCTGGCAGCGCCACGATGGGAAAGCTCCCAGCAGCAATAACAACAACAGCAGCAGCATTAACACGGGCCAGTGGGAACACGTCCCAAGGTAAGGCAGCAACTAATTCATTGATCAATCAGAATCAGCCCACGGGGGGGGGGGGGTGGTCTCGTTTATCCACGCAGGTCAATTTACGCTACAAGGGCAATTAACTTCACGGTCATTTAGTGATGCTTAAATAGACGCGGTATGTTTTGCGTAATTGTACACGGGGTTTACGTGACCGCGTTGGAAGCAGAGGTGCAGTGGTTAACCTGTCGACGCGAGTTTGATTCCCTGCCTCGGTTGACAAGCAATATCTGATCCAGTCCTGGGCCTCTCCAGCGTGGCGAAGCGTGGTCAACAATAAGGATTTCCATGGCATGCATTGGATTTTGACAAAGGGCTGTAGAGTAACGTCTCGTTGAACGCGATGGACAAAATTACTGAAAAGTGTCGCGTCAAGTGGAAAATGCGCTAAGCAAGAAACGATTTCCCCCATAAATAATGTAACCATCAAGTTCGGAAGGATACACTGACATTTCGGGACAAATAACTGAGGGTATACCGTCGCGTTACAGTTACCAGTAGTTCGTCGTCGACCGCTCAGACATCGCGTTACGACAGTGCGAGTCCCACGTTACGACAGTGTGAGTCTCACGTTGTAACGGTGTTAGTCCCACGTTGTGTGAAACGAGTTCCATAATGCACGAACCGCGTTATAGTGTGAGTACCGCATCAAGCAAGGACTTATCGTACACATATACAAACGCATCGCGTGATTCGTAACAGGCCGTGGCTTTAAATTTCCATTACTAATTTGCCACTGAGCACAACATTAACTTGAAATTGGTTTTAATCGGCATCAAAGCAGAGGTCCCTTAATGACTGCTCTGTTATATTTGTAGCCACCCCGTGTCTTGTTTGACTGATGTGGGGCCAGACAAGTGACAATAACGTCGGCTCCCCAGTCAATATGCAACGTCGTTTGAACGTTGTGGCCAACTTTCCGCGTTCACTGGGTCTAGCTCACTGGCCTTCTACAGTCAGATGACTGATGATGTCAGCCGTGGTTAGGAATCGAACTCGGGTCACCAGATGCATAGTGTAGTGGCGCGTACCACTGGGCCACTCCCACTTAATCGTACAATCATCGAATCGTGCGTGCATGCTGCTTCATTGTATGCAAATTATATATATAACATGCAAATGACACGATTATTTGGCTGTGTGCAATGAAGAAGGCACATTGCCCCAAACGGTCCATGTTTTTTATATATATATACTTTTAAGGCCACAGTATTATTGGTGAATGTGTCGAGTTCTTTGTTAATTGTGCATGTGCGCCACCGCCAACGCAGCATCACGCGATGATTTGTTTTTATTTGGCTAACGGAGAAGACAATGATATGCCAAAGAGACTGGCAACACACACAATGGACGGTAACGATGAGACACATTTTCTTCTTGACTCAAATTACGGCGCCGAATCGTGACAATTCTTCGAATCACTGGAGGGACGAATTGTTATTCCCATCTCGCTAACGTCATGGCTGGTATAAGTTTTAGTCTGAGCTCATCAAGCGTTCGGCCCTGGCTAGATTTGCACACCAATTTCCATTGCCACCGAGCCTGCAGAGATTGTTACACTATTGTGGATACAAACAACTGCATCACCACTCCTAGTGTACTAGCAGAGACGAAGATCCCCCGTGTAGCATTCATAGGCTGGTGGGGCAAGTGTTAGCGAGCACCTATTAAGGCTGGCATGGCGCACAAGCCATCCCTCGCCACCGTGTGCCCTTTATCTCCCCAGTGCTAATAATTTACACACCACACCAGCTACTCATTCGAGGCTGAGTCGACCTAGGAGAGACTACCCAGGACAAGTCCAGATACCACTCGCAATTCGCCCGACAGTGTTAGCAGCCGTGGCCGCGAATCATAATCGGGTCACCGGGTTCATGGTACATTACGCAAACCATCGTGCAACCACTTCCCATCAAACAAATATCCGCTGTATAGCCTTCAAAAAGACTGTGAGGGCAAGTGCTGTTAGCGAGTAGCACCCATGAAGGTCGGCACGATCCACGAGGGGTTGGGTGGACAACACCACGCCAGGCCGCCTTTGCCTCCCGAGTGGTGACGATGTTTACACACCGCACCGGCTCCTCAATTCGGTTCGGATAATCGTCATTGGTGTTGGTGGCCGCATGCGGGAATCTATCTCTCGCTCACACGTGCCAACAGAGAGAGAGAGAGAGATGTCACATCACCTATCACCCCCGCCTGCCCTGGAAACACTGCTTCAACTGGCTCCAGCAAGAACCGCCGCCCTTTACAAGAACGGGGTGCGCAACTTACACTCACCCACATCCCCTATGAAACTCAGACCCCTGCCACCCCTCCCCCGTGACCAGCCAACCCCCGTGCATCTCCATGCACGTGTCCCATCCACACCGCGCCACTCGCCCCACCACTCCTCTACCGCACCCTATAATGCCACTGACACAGACGTGTGTTTGCTTGCCTGTTTAATTGTTTAGCTATTGTCTGACAGGTTGTTTAGCCTATCCCCTAATCTGTCTATCTCTCCCATCTCTATATCTATCTCGCTGTTATGTTATCAATCTGTTCATCCATCTCTGTGTACATATTTCTCTATTTTGCCTATTTGTATGTCCATATGTCTGTATGTCTGTCTGTCCACCTGCTTACTTCGTAAATCGATCGACGTCTGCTATTGCTATCAATCCGTTCATTTACACCATCTCTGTGTGTATCTCCATCATCTGTTTTCCTATATATATAAATACAGCGGCTCTCTGTCTATACATCTGTTTATATTTGCGTTGTATTAATGTATTTATCTGGATATCTATCTCTACATATCTATTTGGCCAGTAATCTTATCTACATCTATATACGCAT